ATACATATAGTCTACGCAATCGTGAATATAATGTAACTGCAGAAAAGCACCGCTTTTAACTTAGGCCACGATCCTTGGTGCTACAATACAGCAAGTTATGGAATAAGCTTTCACATTTTATTCGCTCCTGCAAGTCCACAATTCAGTTTCGACGTCCACACAACGGATTTCTTCCTGTCACGGATATCCATAAATTTCTTGACATTCATACTATATCCACAAGTATGAGGCGTAATGGAGCAATCGGCTCATAACAATGGTCGAGCTATTGCATCCTCCGTGAACGTACTCAAACCTCTAAATTTATGAACCGGGGTTATTAAAGTCTTCCAGTTCCTTTATTGCAGATGGCTCTACAATTGCATGCGAGGGTGTGAGTACTGGCCCCTCTCCGTATAATGAACTTAAAGAATACTGTTTACCCCTGAAAGCCACCGCGGTACACCCCAAATATAGAAAATTTAGGAACGTTATAATGGAAAAACTGTGCAGTTGACTTCACACGTATACATGAAAATGTACATAAAGTCCGAATGATTAAAAAAGGAATAGGGACTTCGCTCTTCGCCGAATTTCATAGTGCATTAATTTCTTTTTCCATGTCTGCTCGTGCTTCTTCTTTCTTTTTCCATTCGCAGAAACTGCCCTATGCCAACATTTGATGCTCACATTCAGTCTGAACATAATTACTTTCTGAAAATAATACCTGCTCATTGACGCCAATAATTATTGGACTGCCGCCACTCTTTAGCGAATTCTGGACCATCCTCACGATCACCTAACCTGTTGATCACAACGTTTTGTTTGCCATGAACTGGTTAAACTTTCTGAATGGCATTAGTAACAGGGACATTCTGAACAGACGACTAAGCCAGCTACCAATTTACATATTGGCTCGGGACGCGACTAACCTGCGGTAGCTCCATACTACATACTTTTTGATACTCTGTATCAAGTGATCTTTTCATATTAAAGTTATTATACAACAAACACACCTCTTGAATGATGCTGCTTACGCTAATACAAAAGATACCCGAAGCCTATTTGTAAATACTGCCATTTGGACCATCGACCACTTCAACGTCTAAATCAATCCAACGCAACAAATATTCTCGGCAGAATTTATTTATGTTACCTTTAAACGTAGCATGGTGACCCAGAAATGCATTGATATAGACATACTTGTTGGTTATTTAATTGTGGATACTTTGTTGATACTCCAAATCGTATAAATGGGTCCTTTGCGGTCAGCAATGCTAGAAACTGAAGGTCATTCTAGGGACTAAACTGTTATATTACTAATTACCAAACTATGGGAGTGGGCTAGCAACGTTGGCTGGTTATAACGCAGATATGAACACTGCGCGCTTTTGGTGTTGATAGTGGAACCTGTCTGTGAGATGTGGGATGACAATCCATATCCGTCTAACGAATTTCAGCAAATTTAAATAAGATTATGCACGCTAATGACTCGATATGTAAATTATTTAGCACTAAAAACCAGCTCGTAAACTTTCGAAAATTACGAATTTGACGGTGCATGTGAACTGGTATCCCTCTTGTTAAATCCGCTAAATGAAGACAATATTTATTATTATCTACACTTTAACACTCTGTGTACGCTGTAAAGTAATATTTCTTTATTCGTTTCATAACTAGCAGCATCTTCTGCTGTTGTTAATTGAGTTTTATGACATTCCGTCTGTACCACTCAGGACTCGTCCTGTGGATGTTTTGAGATGTATCAACTTGATGAATCCTGTAAACTGGCTTCTTTCATGTTAAATTTTTTAATGTGAGTGAGGGCTTACAAGCCGCTAGAGCCATGATATTAAACTCTCCATCTACCACACCAAGATGTGCAACAACCGAATAAAAATGTGCTTTATCCAGTGGCATGGTTGCTCCAAGCCATCTGCTCAACGGACTCCTCGAAAGGGAAAAACTTGAATAGGTTGCATCGAACGACTCTCGCCCCACTTGCCAGAACCTATCCGCGGTATTGGGCTCTCACGTTAAAGCAGTGTTCGGGTAATCAGAATGCTCAAAAGCTACGTGACTGCAGTTGCAGATGAAAGAGCACGGTAGTTCACTTAACTTGAGGTCAATGACAGTTCATAACTATTGCTTAAGCCCTGCTCCACTTCTTTGGATATGTATCAATATCCCGATTTGAAGTAAACATCTTTCATCCTACATCAGTATAAGACTAATGCAAAGAAATAAAGTGGATAACCGTTAGCTGGAGCACATCACGCCAGCTGATTCTAGAATTATGAGGAAAATAGTTACAGAGGACTTCCTAAAACAATCGCAAGAATACGACGCTACCACACTCATTCACCATTGGTTCTCAAAGTCACGTTCATGTATGACTTGCCGGCTCAAAGTTAACTATCCAACCGCTAGCGTTAACCAAAACCTATTGGTCCTAGTCCTGTAGTTTGACACCTCTAAAGCATTCGGTCAGGCGGCCGTTAGCTATTACCGCAAACCCATAAAATGGTTTATCCGTTGCTGAGCTGAGTCTGATCTTTCCTCAGAAGCTATCTGTGAGTTGTGATAATTAGGTCGCATCTGTCAAAACCTAGAGTGATTACGTCTGGTTTCCTTCAGAGTAGTGTGTTAAGTCCTATGTTTTTCACACTTTCTCTCAGCGATCTCTTTATCTCTTTCCGAAGTGCTAAGCAGCGTCTGTTAGCTTGCGCAAAAATTCCCTAACGATGAATTAAACCACTTTAAAAGACAGGTGCAGAGGAGATCGGCACGTCAACGACTTACAAGTGATTTGAAAAATAGGTAATCGTTGACCTCTGGGCGATAGAAGCCTACATGTCACACAGTTACACCACGCTGCTGAGGCTCGTAGCATACGCAACGTAAGTAGTACATCGTCTAAAGAATTAGATACATGAAATCCTCCTACCTGGTTGGGGTTAAAAGGTACTGTTCACTACTTCACCACCCATAGGAATCTCCTTTCACCTTCACTCATTAATGTACGCTCGTCACTGGAGAAAATATCAGTTTTACTAACCTAAAACACAGTGGTATTGGTTCTCGAGCAATTGTGTCTTAGACGGACACATGTAAACAGAGTGCTCTACCCTTCACTGCGACAGTCACGGTGGAAGCTTAGTTGATGTTGCTTGATCTAATTGTATAACCTTGCTACCGAAGGTAAGGTTGAAGCCAACGTATTCAACCATCAGCTGGACTCACCTTCGGTTATTGTCAAATGTATTAGCTGCAAAATTATTATGATAATGTTTATTTCACACAACGTGGTAGGTTACCTGTCTTGTTACTACACTACAGGTAGTTGTGTCCGTGCCTTCATACGTTCCCTGCCCGTGCCTAGTTGAATACTCGAAGCGCGAGTAGTTATTTTAAGACTAAAATGGCCTCAGGACGATGTTAGTACCAAAGTTTTGATACGACTGTGAAATCAAGCCAAAATGTAGCACAATTTTGGGCGTACCGCATTCACTTTCTGCGAACGAAATTTCCTCGAAATTTCAGTGTTGTTAAGACTTTTAGACGTCTGCATCTGCTTGATCAAACCGATTTTCCATCCCTCGGCAAATCGCAGCTTCTCCGGGAGACACGTTTTGTCTGGAGTTAACGGATCAAAAGCGGGTTGTGGCAATGCTATGACAATGCCCCGTAGGCTGTGGAGAACATCCATGTATTTATGATAGTGACGCCGTGGGCTGCTCAGTAGACACTATAGTAATAACACCGATCAATAAACATTTAGAATAGACTTTCTGAGGAAATACGTACTGCAGGCTTGTTATGCGTCTTTCATTCTTCACTTAATAAGCTCGTAACAGATGACGAGTCCATCACTCGCCTAGGCACTGTATATATGCTCTGGGTTAATGAAAACATACTAGGAGCTCTAAAAGTATGGAGCGAGGCTATGATAGATCTCAAGTACCTTCTACCTCAACGGATGCACAAAGGGTGTCTGATTACTACTACGTCTGGCTTAATTGCGCAGTACGAATACATAGCCAGTGTTCCCTTTAAGTTTACAACCAAAGCTGACCACCTAATAAATCGCGTGAACTTTATGTAAGAAAAAGGGAGGATTATTCTCATATGCATAAATTACAGTGCGCAAATAGTTTGAATGGCTCTAAAAAGACAAAAGATTTCTCCCCTTCCAGTCTGTCTTGCGTAGTATTCCATTGTTAAGTTTATCCTTACGCTTTCCTTCCTCTTCTCTTCTCAGTATCAGCCTGACGAGAAAGTTTCATGCATTAAGTTCAAAAAGTATCAGTCTACTGAAAATCCCATTGTTATATTATTTATTTGTCTCTTGGGTTCCTGGTGGAACATAGGGCTTCAGTAGCACGTCTCCAGTGCACTCTGTTCTCTGCAAACTTTTGAACCTGGCTCCACGACAGCCCACAAGCTCTCATTTCTTCTTCGCACGGTCTCCTCCATGTCACCCTTGGACGCCTAACTCATCGCTCCCCACCTGGGTTCTACTCGAGGGCCTGACGCGTGATGTACCCAGTCAGCCTTCTCAGTGTATGCCCAATCCAATCCACCTCCACTTCCTTCTAAATATTTGTTGAGTGGTAGGTTCTTGCTTCGTTGGTTCGTTGCCAGAGTTCCTTGAGGCTTATTCTTTCTCGCCATCTGATCTTCAGTGACCAGCCAGCGTAGGCAGTTGTTGATGGATGTCCGTAGGTTGTTGGAAATCCCTTGCGTGACGCGCCAAGACGCTGAACTATACAGAAGCACTGACTTGACATTGGTGTTGAAAGTCCGGATCTTGTTCCTTAAGCAGAGTGGTGAACAGTAGATCTCCACACCGGTTTCAGGGTAATAAACGCCAGTCTTGCCTATTTGATCCTGGCTTCGACGTCCCCCTTCTGTGCCGTCGCCTGTAGTTGAAACAGTGCTGCCTAGGTAGGTGAAAGAGGCCACTTCCTTTAAGTTCCTCCCGTTGAAGGTGATTGGTGCCTGTTTTCGCTGCTGTTGTTATAATAATAATAATATATTTCATGCAACAAAGGTTACATGAATACAAACCAGTTTACAGGTTTGATCACTTTGGTAATGAGAGATGACTATTATGTACAATGTTATGCTATACATTAGATGCTGTGATTTATGGCATATAGGAGGCATGTTGAAGCAGGCTCAGTTCGAATTTGAAGATTATCCGGTCATCGTTTGAATCATCCAATATTCTTGAAGGTGAGGCCGCATCACAGTCATGACCTTGGGGTGTGCGCGTTCGTCATCAGGTTTTGATGGCAATATTTCCACTGACGAATGCGATTTGTAGGATTCCATTTGAATGCAGGACTGGTTAAGTAAATCTGAAAAGTGAATAACAAAAGCGAGCAGCAGGCGAAATTTGTAACAGGAGCACAAAAATACGCAGGAGTAGATCGACCATGATACATCTGGGTGAGTTTGTACTGACTATTAAACTTACTTGAGGAAGTGTCCAGAACCAACTGTTTAGAGGTAAGCTTAGGTGGAAGAAGATGAAGGTGCGCACGACAGTAATGAAAGTCAGTCTGAAGCTGAAGATATCACTACGAAATAGAAAGATTAGAGGATATTTGACCAGGTATTAACTTGTTATATACCTATGTACAAGCGTATGATGAAGTTATAAACATTTAGGTGAAATTCGTGGTTTTTTTTGTTCTTAGGACCACCACCCTTTATCTGGTCACGAGGGGATGATCATGGTGTTGCCTGTTGAGCATTACCATATCGGGTCTACCGAAACTATGTTGGTGCAGAGTACTTAGATGTAAGTACTGATGACAAAGGGCAAATAATAAAGAGTTGCATGCTATGAAAATGCACCGACAGACAGTTCTTTTATCTTTTCGGAGTAGAGAGATTACTTTAAGGGGCGATTTTTAGGAAATAGGTGTTAAGTCGTGAGATCGGTTAGGTTGTGAAGAAAAGTAGGTTACATTTGAGTATCTAATAAGTTCACTGTAGCATATCGTGTCGCACTCCGCTTCCTGTTCACTCTTGGTCATTTTTTTTCTAAGAAATTAGATTTTAACTTAACTATTGCGTTTAGTTTTCGGCATTGTATACTTATGTCATTGCTGTTAGTCTCCCTTGAGTCTAGGTACCAGTAGTACCTTAGTGCATGGCATTACCGTTTGTGGTTTGGCCGTCAACGAATTGATGAGATTCGTTAGATAGGAGGAATTTACTAAGTAGTCGTTGAAACTGGCCGAGCGAACGGCATGCTCGTATAGGAGCGGGAAGTTTGTTCCACAGCATACTGTATTGCGTTATGAAAAACCTACATCGAAGTTTTGAGCGATACTTATTTATTGGGATGATGTTCTCGCTATTACGCAGATTATATGCCTGTGTTGTTTTAAAAGTGACAGCACATTTCGTTTTAGGGTTTGTAAATAAAAGACGAAAAAGAAGTGTTAAGTTGAGCTTCAGGCGTCTCAGCCAGAGTGATTCTAGTCCTAGTTTTTTGCATCTTGCTTCGTAAGGAAGTCCTTCGTTATGTATTAGTAGGCGCCGAGTAAAGTTCCGTTGAATGTTCTCTACTCGAATTCTGTCCGACACATTCATGCTACCATAGATAACGGTGCAGTACTCTAATATTGGGCGAACCATAGCCTTGTACAGTATAAGTTTTGCCTCAGGTATGAGTATGTTTCTGTGTAGAAGACCGATGAGTCTTCTGCCCTTGGAAACTACTGAGTCTGCATACTCCGTAAAAGTCAAACTTCTGGAGTAAGTGATTCCGAGGTCTTTCACAGTGTTGTATACCTGCAGTGCAATATCACCCAAGTGTAGCGTTACTTCTGGGTGGGATTTATTGAAATGGAGGATGCCACTTTTATTTGGGTTTAGAGGGAGCTGCCAGGTCTCGCTCCATATGAATATCCTCTTCAGATCTTCTTGTATTTGAGAGAAACCCTGTGTTAGTGCTGCAGGAGAAAAGCTGTAGACTATCTTCAAGTCGTCAGCGAAAAGGTAGGGTATGCCATTTCGGATAACACTGCAGATATCGTTTACATAGATTAGGAAAAGTATCGGTCCTAGCACACTACCCTGGACGACACCACTTTGTATAAGTCTAGGGGTGGAGTAGCAATTACTGAATTTTACTACTTGGAAGCGACCCTCTAAAGATGTTCTGAGCCAGGACAGTAACGGGTCTCGGAAACCATATGATTGCAACTTAGTGACCAGGCGTTTGTGAGGCACCTTATCGAATGCTTGCTTGAAGTCTAAGAAAAGGGTAGTTACAAATAGGCCTTGGTCACGCTTGCTTGTAACGTTGTCTAGATAGTCAAGATAGCTTGTAGTGCATGACCGGCCTTTCAAGAATCCATGTTGTGCTGGTGAGAGTAATTGGTTAGTCGTCATATAGTCGACAACTGCTTTCACAATCACCTTTTCCATAGTCCTGGATACTACTGACGTGATGTTTATAGGTCGGTAGTTTTCTATATTAGATGTTGGTCCACATTTATGCTTAGGACATATGTATGATAGTTTCCAGTTCTCAGGGTAATTGCCACTGGAGAGGGACGTATTAAAGAGCTTCAAGAGAATCAGCGGTATATCTTCGCCACCTCTTTTTAACAAGATGGTTGGAATTCCATCAGGCCCCGCACTGTATGAGGTTCGAAGTGATGCTATAGCTAGAGAAATGTTTTGTTTAGAGAAGAGCACTGTACTTATGGAGTGAGTTGGTGTTGACGGTGCACCAATGACTTTTATTTCGTCCTCTTGTGTAAAGCAGCTAGCAAACTGGTAACCGAACAGCTCGCTGATTTGTAGTGGGTTATCGTAGAGGATGCCGTTGTCCATGATTAAACTAGGGGTACTATTTCTGGAGCTACTTATCCGGGTTTTCATCAGTCTCACTAGTGCTTCTGTATTACTAGTTTTACTACATTGGATGCGTTCTTGTTTAACGGCTTCTATTACTCTTTCTGCCTTGAATGTGTCGTATGTGTCTTTGAGTGTGACAAGCGACGAAAAGTCATTCGACTTATAGTACTCTCTGACATGGTTTCGCATGCGGATGCGTACTTTCTTTGGTATATAGTCAGCTCTGTTTTTCTTAATTTCTCTTCGGAGCGGTGGAGCAACATAGTCTTGAGCTGTGCCTATATATTCATAGAATAGATCACAGAGTTCTTTGGCTGAACTGTTGGTAAAGTAGGGGCTCCAATCTAGGCAGCGCAGAAACGATTGTAGTTCGTCCCATTTGGCATACTTGTAATTTCTAGTTAGTACTGTTCCTGACTTTTGGGCCACTTTTGTGCTGGTTATATTGAAGTATCCATATACAACCTTGTGATCGCTACCTGGAAGTTGTGTACCCACTTGGAGTTTTGTGGGTGTGGTTCCGTTTGTGAAGACTAGGTCCAGGACACTATTGTACCTGGTAGGGTGTTCCGCATGCTGTTGGTCAGGTGACTTCATTACCTCTGTCTTCTCTACGTTCCCTGAAGTCCCGTTTTCGCTATCTCTTCAGCCAAATTGTTAGCTTCCGCCTGGAGATCTGTAATTGTCTGCGGCACCAGGAAAAGGTCATCAGCGAAATCCAAACCTTCTAGGTTGTTTCCGCCTGGCCAAAGAGTTCACCAGACACCAGTGGGTCCTAATCCCACGTTGGGAAGAAAGGCTGGTCATAGCGCTCGAAAGTAGAACAAGGGAAACAAATTCAACAACCAGAGAAATTTCAGACCACAAAAATCCGTAAAAAATAAACAAGTATTTTATCTTCAACTTAAGAGTTTAACACGAGCGAAGCCAGCTACAGGCATCACACGGTTGATAGCGGTAAAGAAGTCTCCAGTGGTTGAGCTGTCCCGAATGATATAGAAGATATCTCATCAGGGCTTATCATGATATAAGAAGCGACTGCAGGTTATAAAAATAACAGAAAAATATCACTTCCCAACACATTCAGATTGTTTGGGTGTTTCGGTTCCCTTCACTCACCATTCTTTTTCCGCAATAAAGTGATACCAAAACTGTACAATATTCGACGTTTACGTTACATGTGACCTAGATGGTTGACCTGGTGGCATAGTTACGTGTGCGGTCAGACAAACATTTATTTTGACATCACTTTGCATATTTCTGGTATCGTTGGCCAATGAAAACGCACTTCACCGTCTTCAGGTAGCAGTAAGTGTCAGCATAACCATGTAATCCACGTGGGTAAATAAGTCCCCGCATTTCCAACTCGTAGAGTGACCTAACTCAGCAACACAAATGTAATCCATCAGAAGTGGTTGGCGCTGTACAAATCAATTCACCTGCCAAAAAGTGCCGTGAGCTGGCTCTGGATACTTCTTCGAGTAAGTTTTGTAGTCAGCGCAAAGAACTCGCCCAGATGCATCATGGTTGATCTACTCCCGCGTATTTTTGTGCTACTGTCTCGAATTTCGCCTGCTGCTCGCTTTTCTTATTCACTTTTCGGGTTTACCTAACCGGTCCTGCATTCAGATGGAATCCTTAACATCGCGTTTGTCAGTGTGCACCTCGACATCAAAACCTTATGATGAACGCGCACACCCCGAGGTCATGACTCCACTGCCTACCCCATTTTCAAGAATATTGGAAGATTCAAACCGTAACCGAATAATTCCTAATTTCGAACTGAGCCTGCTCCAACACACCTCTTATATGCCATGAATAACGGTATCTAGTGTATGGCTTAAAGTTGTACATAATAGTCATTCCTCATCACCAAAATGATCAAACCTGTAAACTGGCTTCTATTCGTGTAACCTGTGTTGTATGAAATATATATTATCAGTATTATTATTACTATTATCAATACCACGTACGAAACCTCAAACACAATAACTGGTCTCCGATCTCTAGTCCGCCACAAATGCAGCGGAGATCTGAATAAACAATCAAACCCGAGGGATCACTTCACCTAACGGCAACGCATCCATAATGATGCCATGCAACGGATTTTTCTGGCACCTTGTCTTGTAAGAATGCATCTAACAGAGGTCGACCAACGGCCAATCTATCTCCTTGTCAACGCTGCATACTTTAATGTGAAACCTGTGGAGTTTTACGCGTGTGCAATATCCACGACTGGTGGAAGACGATGCTTCCAGTCTTTAATTGCTTGCACCACAACAAAGATTTTCAGTATTATCAATCAGAAGTGCTGGGAAAGATAACACTCGAAGAGTGAGAAATGCCTGAACGCAGATATTCACCTGAATTAAATGATTGTATGGATACTTACTTATCCCTGAGATCACTGAATTAGGTTATTATTGGCCAACAAAGCCACGAACAAAAGAACTGGTATCAAAATAGACGTTTGTCTGAAGAAACATCGGGTTTTGCAGACGGGTCAATCGTGTCGGCTACTCATAACGCAAACACCGAATATTTCGCCGTTTGATGCCACTTTAGCGTGAAAAAGAACTGTCAGTAGGAATGATCTAAAATTAAAACTATATGTGTGTATTGTGAGGCGGTATTTTCCTGTTCTTTACATAACTTTTAGACGCCTGACGTCACGATAGGGTTTAACGTCCTCCTTCCGTACCATTCAGCACTGCTCAAACCTTTTAAGTTTCTTTGCAGTTAGCGATTTTATGACCCATGTAAGCCGGCTTCTCTCATGCTAAATGCATAACCCGAGAATAAATACTTTTATTTATTTATAATCTTCTACCGTTACCTACGAACACAACAAGAGGTGGTCAGATTGTAGGTTTCCAGTGGAAAAAACCTGTTACTACTGAATGGAGGGATTAGCGCCGCATGTGTATTCATTTTGTTCTCCTAATGTATTCAAAAACATCAACCACTCATTTAGTTTGACTTCACTCAATTTGCTTGTGCAACCAAGTTTAACCTCTTGTTTCTATTGGCGTTACGACTACATTTCGTTTTGGATGGAAACTGCAGAAACCATCAAAACTGAGGACTTGTTGTAAAGACCAAGTTTCACAGGGTTCATTTACCGTTTGAATATATGTATATATTCGTTGTTTGGCAACCAATTGTTTTGGATTTGGTCGGTTTCGCTCTGGGTTTAGGAACTCTGGAAATTCATATCTCTATTTCGTGCTACTCAGTGGATTTCATGTAACAATTAAAACAGCTCCAATGTTTTTCGAACCATAATATTACTCCGAAAATAATACTTTCGATGCAGTTGATTCGTCTTGAAGTTGCCCAAACTCTAACACTTTCTTCTGTCTTCTTCGTTCACTGTTTGAATTTTTCATCGGTATTCGACCTAGCTGAATGACTGCCAATGGCCTAGACATTTAAACTGGTTGAAGGTAAAATCTGCTTCCACTGGTAAGTCAAACGAGCATTCAGGCCTCCAAGATAAAGACTGCAGGCAAGTTATTCTCCCCTTGTACTGAATAATCTTCCCGGAGACCGAATCTTTCCCCGACCAAACTATTCAAATGCGCCGCCACCACAAATTCTGATATCCGGTTGCTGATAAACCGATGGAAGAGCCTGAACTTTTCCAGGGTTACATTAACCTTGACTAGTGAATCCGCGATGATAGTTTCTAGGACAGACAGTCTTAGAAGAACTGAACTGACTTATCACACCATCGTCGTCTAAATCTAACTAGGTAGACGAAATCCTAATCCCAGATACCCAATTCCTGTGACAAGACAAAAGAGGGAGCTTCAATTACTCTCACTTGCCTTCTCGTGAAACCTGATAAGTCCTACCTTGCTAACATAAACATTTCAGTTATCTGAACTCTTGTTCTTGAAAAAGTGTACGCTGCTTACTAACTTCAACATCCAAAGGTCCCCTCGAGACTTTAGAAAATTGGCCGGGGAGTAGAAAACGATTCAGTCGGGGCCGAACTGAAAACAACAGCAATTCTACCTTCAAAGCAATACCCTCGCAACTTGCGTTACATTCTTGCAGCTATTCTCAGTTTATTGCTACCCTGTTTCACGCCGTTGTTTTACACTCTCGTTCACCAATAGTGTCCTGGTAGTACAGAATTGCACGTCTCTGTGCTTTCGAATCATCCTTGTGGCCTAAGCTAGCTATTGTGCAGACTTTCTTAACTGGTCACTGGCACAAACCTTCCCCGTGCTACTTGCCATATCCAACTGATCACGGTTCTCTGGCCTCACACCAACGGGGGGATGTACCGTTAAACCGTGGGTTGAAACTCAGATAAACGCGCTCATAAAGGTCCCAGCGAAATCCACAGTAGTGGGAAACTGCTCTTAACCTGCTTTCGTTATCGAATGAAACTAGTGTGAATTCTAACAAGGATTACACCGATGCGAAATTGGGCACAACACCGATGCTAAAACTGACAAATGTTCTGACGAGCAGGCCGATGATTGGCCCAACAACTGAGGATCATCTATGTTTCGGAACAACCGCTGGTGGCATTAGTGCACAGACGAAAGCTGTCATAGATCTTCCAGGTATTGTAAGGATGGTTCAATCTGAATTGGTAATTCCCAGTATGGGACTCTCAGCTGTTTCAGAACTCGAGGAAACAATTCAAGACCTACAGCTGCAAGTAAAACAAACTCCGCTCTAAGACCCTCTTAGTTGATGCAACTTAAGTCAACATAGCAGAAATAGTACGAGATATGCAAGAAGCTGCATCCTTAAAGCTGCTGACCACCAAATTTAACATGACCCCCGCAGATACTGGAAGCGAAGTCCAGACTGAGCCTGGCACCACGCTAAAGGTAGAGTACGTAGTCAGTTACATCTCTTCCGGAATCAGCAGCTGGCCAGGGGGGAATTGTACACTATGCCACAGACAAAATGCCTATAAATACCGTAAAGAAAGTATTTCTTAACGCCACTAGCATGTTGGATATTCCATGTCGTCATTTTAGGCTTTCAATGGAATACCAGAAATACTATTGCCCAGTTCTATTTCGTTTTGACAGCCGACAAAGGGCCACCCAGTTTATCAGTTCTTGTGATGCTATTATTCCCACTGCCAAACTTGGGACCGCCAAGGTGGTATCAGAAAAGATTGTCAACTAACGGCGAACCTACAAAAG